CGAAAACTATCTAAGAAACGATGCTCTAATCTATTCATTTTCTTTTTTTTCACTTTTTTGCCCTCACTTTCCTCTTCTTGCTGGAATTCCTCATCATCTTCCTCACTCGAATCTTCTTCTTCTCCTACAACAACTGTACTTTTTAAAGAACTAGAGTCGGTTGACTCGTTATCCATATTAATGAAATAAGACATTGAAATATATTTTTCTTTGTTTTGAGGTATGACTCTTATTTCACCTCCAAATTCAACTAACTCTTTAAAGAAGAGGTGACAGTCGTACGAAGAAAAATTGTGGAAATATATTGGAATAAATTTAGGTAGATGATATTGCAGATTGCAATGGTTATGTACCGCACCTCGATATTGCCCCGTTAAGTGACAATGATCTTTCACCCTATCGTTACCTAAAATATCGCCACATATACGACAATTTATATCCCTAAGAAAGGCTGTCTCTTCTTCGGGTGTTAGAGTATTCATAGGTTTCGTTTTGGTTAGGTAACTATCATACAAAAATTTACAATCCTGAATTAGTTCTTTCAGAAAAACATTTGCTGCGTCGGGACCACTATATATAAATAACTTATTTAAATTTTCATTAAAACTACATTTAATAAAATAACTAAAAGCACATGGAATATGCTTCTTTACCTTTTCCGTTTTTTTACTCGCCCCATTGTTCTCATCTTCCGGCACGTCTTCCAGTATGCTCTCGGAGTCAGCATAAATTACGAAAGGCACCTTTTCCTTTTTCTTGTGATTGATGAACTTCAATACAGCCTCCTTTTTGTTTGGCAGAGTACAGACTACGTTTCCACACTGCTTTTTGTGAGTCATACATTTATTTTCATCGTGGAAACATTGTAGACATCCATAACAAAAATAAGCTTTCTCCTTATGACTTGTGAATTGAGACCGCATAAGACTGAAAAAAAAAGAACAAATACATGATTATTAGAATATGGTTTTGATTGATAAGTTTTTTTTTTTTTTTAATTACCAAGACATATCCATAACCAAAATGTAATGGAAATGTTCTTCATTGTGCAGCAATATTAAATTAATGTGATTGCTTTTCGTCTCCTTTGTTAAGTAATATGGACCAACGACCGACTTGTTTTCATAACCGAAAACATTTACGCTAATCTCCGGGTTGTTCATTTCAAATTTTTTTATATATTTAAGACCCAATGGGAAATTTAATTGTTCGAAATTTAGCGATATTCCAGACTGCAGAATAATGACATCTTGGTGTATGTCGATGTTATATGAAGAGGTTATACTCGGATCTCCATATGCAGTTTCTCCCAATGCAACAACCATACACCACTTGAAACAAAAGTCATCATAGTTTTTGATGTTAAGGCACGCACCCTTCTTGTTGCTTAATGATTTCGGAGTTGGAATATAATGTGAGCCACGGGTTAAGTTGGCTCTCAACACATTTATGTCAAGTTTTAAAAGTTTCTCCAGGGCCCAATTAGAGCCTCTTTCTTGGAACTCTTCTGATTTTGCTATAATTTCCACACAGTGGTTGAAAACAACCTCTTCCAAATCATCTCCCAGGGTTAATAGCGTTGTTTTTGAAATATGATTAAATATATTTTCAATAGTTAACTCTTTGGAAGTTGAAGGTCCATCTTTTTCATTGTTTGGTTTCACATATAGTCCTTGGAGTTCCATATTAAATTTTATGAGCGTTTTACCGTTTAACTCATTTTTTAAGGTTTTAATTATTAATTCTTTTGAAGCATTAAGAAAATCGATCGGGTACAAAATGTCTTTATTGTTTTGTATCTCATAGCTGAGTATATTTTTGTTAAATGCACTTTTAACAATTTTTATGTCAGAATCCAGATTTTTTCTCACGGTGGATCGATGTTCTTCGCTACGAACGTGTGATCGTATATTATTCACAATTTTATCACAATCACCACAAAACTTTTCCACCTTCACAGCTGATTTATTTTCATGCTGCTGCTTTAGTTTTTCTTGTTGTTGATCCCGATTTTGTTTTATTACATGCTCATCTCCATGATGGTTCTCTAAGTGCAATTCTAAATCGTTTACACTTTCACATAAAACATCACAAAACATACAATGCTTTTTCATATGTTTCACAAATTCACTTTTTTCCTTGAAATAAAGGCTGCATGACCAACAAATTTTTTGAGACATTATAAAAACTTTTTTAAAAATATTAAGAAACGATGCTTATTAATCTGTGACTTGTTGAGTACTGAAATTTCTTCCAATCCAATCAATACATTATTGACTACATTTTGTAAACAAATAGAAATTCTATGATTGAAGCAGAATTTGTCATGAAACTCTGCAACAACGCTTCCCCCCAAATTCTCATATCCATTTCACAGAAATCCAATTGTTAGTTAATGTAAACAATGGTGTTTCCTTCTTCAAATCCCTTCAATCTTCAATACCGAATTGATGCAGGGTTTGTCATGAAACTCTTTCAGTTTCAATTCTCTCAAATTGCTACATAATGTAAACAAATTCTTCATCGACAAAACTATCAAAAAGCGATCGATATAATGTACCAAAATGCCTGTCCACACAAGAAGAATTTGCTTTGATTGGCTACAGCAGCATTTTTTTAGTGTGTATATGCTACAACATTAATTGGTGGTTAGATGTCGCCTATATCGTTTCGAGGGAAATGACTGGAGAGCCATCTGGACAAAATAATAGAACACACATCTTCTTGTTGACTATGATACTAACCAAATTTGTCTCTGCTATATTCACTTCTCATATGGTGGATCTCTCTAATCCCATTTGATATGATCATATTTCAATAGTTTTGGAGTGTGTCTATGCTACAACATAATTTATGGATAGTATAGATAGAACTCACCGTTAGATGTCGCCTATATCGTTTCGATGGGAATAACTGAACATTTTTGAGTCGCTAAAATTATAGACAAATTAAAACAAGTACAACGAAAAGTTAGTTTTGTCTTTTTATCTCATCATGTTTTGCATAGCCAACATGCTGATTTTCGTGTTCAACCCACTCGACTTCGTTATCGTTTTTCAAGAATTTCACTTGATTATTCCGGAATTTTTCGATGTCATTTCTTTGTCTATATTTTCATTTATATTTTCATCTATGCTGAAATTAAAACCCCTGAAATATCAATAATTGCAGCATATTTGTCAATTGAAACTCTTCTATAATATATCACATTTATTGAAGTCGATTTCTTGAAATATATGTTTTCAAATAAATTAATAAGCACATTTGACTGCAGTAATCAGCATGTTGACTATGTAAAAGCATTCTGAGAGCCATCTAGATAAAATGATTTTCTTCGATACTTACCTCTTTCAGATGTGTTTCTGCTATATTCACTTCTCACATGTTGAATCTCTTTAGCCCCACTCGATATGATCATAATACATTTTTTTTTTCGGAGGGTGTCTCTGCTAGTGGTGAATATTAAAACTTGAAATTTCACCATCCCATACACAGTTTTGGATTGTGTCTGCGCTAAACTTAGCGCCATCTAGTAGTTCATATTAAAACTAGCAACGCCAACGCCAACAGCCCCAATAAAATTTGACGTGGTACAATTCAAAAGACAACATCCCCAATATAATTTGCCGTGGTACAATTCAAACGACAACATCCCCAATATAATTCACCGTGGTACATTTCAAAAGACAACATCCCCAATATATTTCACCGTGGTACATTTCAAAAGACAACATCCCCAATATATTTCACCGTGCTGAATTTCCCCCAATCAACATCCCCAATAGAATTTGCCGTGGTACAATTCCCAAGACAACATCCCCAATATATTTCACCGTGGAGAATTTACCCTAATCAACATCCCCAATAGAATTTGCCGTGGTACAATTCCCAAGACAACATCCCCATTAAAATTCACCGTGGTGAATTTACCCAAATCAACATCCCCAATAGAATTTGCCGTGATAAATCGTGGTGAATTCCCAACATCCCCATAAGCACACTACTTAAATGTAGTTTTACATTTGTCAATATTCTGTAGCATTTACTCATCCTAAATGATGATTTGTTTTCATGGGATCCAAAAGATGGCTCCCAACGTTAGAATGAATATTAGAAAACCTTCAAAAGGTCCTCAATGCCTATAAAAATGTCCACCAGGTTTTCTATGGAACACCAAATTTTTGAAGAGAAAATCTTGGTCTCCACCAAATTTTCTAATAGAAAATGTTGATCTCTACCAAATTTTCGAAGAGAAAATCTTGGTCTCTACCCAAATTTTCTAATAGAAAATATGGGTCTCTACCAAAATTTTTGTAACGTGACCGCTACATTTCCGTTTTCCAACCAAAATTTCTACAACCAAACTTTTCTGGTAGCAGCAAAGGTAAATAATTCTCGATGACGTTGTGCAGTTGGGCGGTTAAGAAGTTACGCTTTTGTTTCCGAAGGGCGTAGATTGCTGACGTAGGACGATAAACGAAAAAACGTGTTGCATTGGCCGCAGCCGTATCCGTGAACATCGAACCCTGGCCTTCAGCCCGCCGTCCGTTCGTTTCCTGCGATTCGTTCGCTTCCAGCGATCCGTTCGCTGCCGGCGACTCGTTCGTTGGCTTCCTGCCATTCATTCGCTCCCTGCGATTAGTTCGCTGTCATCACCCAATCCGCTATCCATATAATTTATTTTCAGGTGTCCGAACGCAAACGAGTTGACAAGCACTTAGCCGTTCCGCCTACCCCGAACTAAGAGGATATCCGTTCGCCCACGAACCTAAAATCATCCGACCGCACCGAAGCCGATCCAGTTACATCAAACTAAATTTCTTTACCAAAGCCGTGTACCCCACCATACGAATCTACCACACATATGCCACTCATACTAATATAGCAAATAAAGAATTGAAGCCTAATTAACCGTTTTCTTATTTAAGATTTGTGGGTCCTTAAGCCGACCTTGGCAACGACTGAGCATACCTCAGCCTCTGGGAAATTCCACGTCATAAATGGCGCCCGAGCAGGGACCCGACGAAGAAACAAAATGCGGCAAATCAGAGCGAAGATTTGTTGAGCCAATGAGGAACATGTTTGGAGAATCGGATATAGAGGATTCCTTGAGTCCCAAATCCCTCTGTCGCGACGAGAGCAATTGGTGGAGCACTGTGGAAAGGTAGGAATTGTGACCAAAGGATATACGGATTGTTCATATTCGACGGACCTTTGGGCCCATTCCAATCGACGAGGCTTGTCCGCAGGCAACATTCTTTGCGTCAATTGAATTTTGTACGGGAACAAATGCAAATCAATGCGAATAATCCGTTGTAAAGTGGACCGAGCCATGCCCAACTGCTGAGAACGGCGTTTTTGGGATGTTCTTGGGAACCCTCAACACTGGCTCGTACGGCAGCGATATTCTCGGCCGATCGCCTTGGTTGACTTTTATATGGCCTCTTCGGATTAGAAAGAGCCTTACCAGTCTAAAATTTTTCGTATAAACGCTTAATGGTGTTCTTAGAAGGCGCACTTCTCACATTTTTTATTGATTTAAAAGCACGTTGAGTTTTCACAATTGACTTCTTGTAAATTTCAACTACTTTAGAGCGCTCGCGTGGCGTGTATTGGTTCATGATAAAAATCTGCTTGGACTGACGCTTCAAACGCGGTATGTCATTAAGCGATGTGACATCTCTGTCAAAAGTTATGGCGTTGCCAGATGGGTCCGTCGAATATGGGCAACCCTGTACTGTCGACCACCTTCAAAGGCAGCTGAGCAAACACTTACGGGAAAAACGAACACAAGTTTTAGCCGAGAACCTACTACGAGAACTGGAAAAAGAGGTAAAATCCTCGGCACTCGAATTTCAGACCCATACCACCATTGAATTCCCAAAACCAGTCCAACAGATGTGTATGTCAGATTTAGAAGTAATGAATATAATCCACCAATGGTTGTTTAGATACTCTGGTGGTACTGATCTCGTCGAATTTCTTGAACGGTTCGAGGAGTTAGCGGAATGCCATTCCATCCCACTTGATCGTCTTCTGCCGTCTTTACTCACCATTTTGGAGGGAACTGCGTTGAAGTAGTATCAGGTTAAACGAGAGGACATAAAATCCTGGCCAGAATTCAAATCCGAAGCTGAGCGATTTTTCTTGCCACAGCGGTATATGAGCCAGATAGAACATCATTTGTACAACAGTCGACAGTATAACAAAGAAAGAGCCAAAGACTACATACTGGCAATGCTAACGACTTCCCGGTGACATACTCAGTTAGAAGAAAAAAATCGTCGTCTCCACCAAAATTTTCTAATAGAAAATCTTGGTCTCCACCGAAATCTTTTAATAGAAAATCTTGGTCTCCACCTTTTTTTCTATAGAATAAAATTTGTCTTCCTCATCTTTTTTTTTTTTTTTTTGAAAAAAAAAAACTTGACTTCGGCCCAGTTCTTCCTGTGAAAAAACTAGCCCAATAGAAATACTTCTTTTTTGTGGGAAAACTGGTTTTTCTATGGGAAAACTTGTCTTCCACATTTTTTCTATGAAAAACATATCCTCCACATTTTTATTTAACAAAAACTTGCATTCCTGATAATGACTGGAAAATCTCATTCGACATCCCTTCGCCAGCATAATTTTGTTTATGTTGCATTTCAAAGTCATCGAAGTGTGATGAGGTTGGAAGCCTAAACAAACATAATTCAATTTTCATAAAAAGACAACAAACATTTTGTCAAACATTATTTAACGGAAAGTCTATAAAACTTGTGGCTGTTCAGAGAGATAGTTTCAGGTCTAACTCGCCTACAATAAATTGAAAGATACCAACGTGTCGCTGGTTACAATTTAAATAAAATGGAAAGGTAGATTGAAATTAAAACTAAAGTATATTTAAATAATGAAAATTCCACTTCTTGTAGTCTTGAAACGTTTTCTGGCACTCCATTCGGACCGGCAATAACAACTTACGTTAACTTTTCCGTAACGGACAATGTAAGTGAACTAAGGCTGTGCAATTTACCCCATACTGAAAGTTATTTCTGCTTTCTTCCAGGCAACCCCCGATATGGCTCATCTCATTAATCCCTATTGGAATCAATTTCCACCCATGGATCGGGAGTGGTATAACCTGTTGACTTTATATATGTTGATTATAGGCATTGTCTCGTGGTGCGGCAATGGTGTTGTGATTTTTATTTTCTCCTCATCTCGAGCTCTGCGAACCCCAGCAAATTTGTTGATCATAAATTTGGCCCTTTCCGATTTTGGAATGATGCTGTTGAACACTCCCATGATGGGTATAAATTTGTATTATCGTACATGGATATTGGGTCCCATGATGTGTGACGTTTATGCTGGGCTGGGTTCTGCGTTTGGCTGCATTTCGATATGGTCAATGTGTATGATAGCGATGGATCGTTATAATGTGATTGTTCGAGGTATGACGGTTCGGCCGATGACAATTCAGTTGGCCATATTGGAGATTTTCCTTATATGGACTATGGCGGCTGCATGGACTTTAGCACCCGTTTTCGGATGGAGTAGGTGAGTCCACCAAGCTTTCTATTGATCTAGGTATCCACCAAGTTTTCTATAGAAAATCTAGGTATCCACCAAGTTTTCTATAGAAAATTTAGGTGACCACCAAGTTTTCTATAGAAAATCTAGGTTTCCACCAAGTTTTCTATAGAAAATCTATAGAAGTTTTCTATAGAAACACTAGGGGTCCACCAAGTTTTCTATAGAAAAAACTAGGTGTCCACCAAGTTTTCTATAGAAAAAACTAGGTGTCCACCAAGTTTTCTATAGAAAAAACTACGTGTCCACCAATTTTTCTATAGAAAAAACTAGGTGTCCACCAAGTTTTCTATAGAAAAAACTAGGTGTCCACCATGTTTTCTATAGAAAAAACTAGGTGTCCACCAAGTTTTCTATAGAAAAAACTGGGTGTCCACCAAGTTTTCTATAGAAAAAACTAGGTGTCCACCAAGTTTTCTATAGAAAAAACTAGATGTCCACCAAGTTTTCTATAGAAAAAACTAGGTGTCCACCAAGTTTTCTATAGAAAAAACTAGGTGTCCACCAAGTTTTCTATAGAAAAAACTAGGTGTCCACCAAGTTTTCTATAGAAAAAACTAGGTGTCCACCAAGTTTTCTATAGAAAAAACTAGGTGTCCACCAAGTTTTCTATAGAAAAAACTAGGTGTCCACCAAGTTTTCTATAGAAAAAACTAGGTGTCCACCAAATTTTCTATAGAAAAAACTAGGTGTCCACCAAGTTTTCTATAGAAAAAACTAGGTGTCCACCAAGTTTTCTATAGAAAAAACTAGGTGTCCACCAAGTTTTCTATAGAAAAACTAGGTGTCCACCAAGTTTTCTATAGAAAAAACTAGGTGTCCACCAAGTTTTCTATAGAAAAAACTAGGTGTCCACCAAGTTTTCTATAGAAAAAACTAGGTGTCCACCAAGTTTTCTATAGAAAAAACTAGGTGTCCACCAAGTTTTCTATAGAAAAAACTAGGTGTCCACCAAGTTTTCTATAGAAAAAACTAGGTGTCCACCAAGTTTTCTATAGAAAAACTAGGTGTCCACCCAGTTTTCAATAGAAGACCTAGGACTCTTCCTAGTTTTCGATAGAAAAGCTGGGTCTACACCCAGTATTTGATAGAAAAGCTAGCTCTACACCCATTTTTTCGATAGAAACCCAAGGTCTCCGCCAAGTTTTCTATAGAAATCTTGAGGTCAGTTTAAGCCAAGTTTTCTATAGAAAATCTGGGTTTCCCCGAAGTTTCCTATAGAAAATCTGGGTGTCCACAAAGTTTTCTATAGAAAATCTAGGTGTCTCGAAGATTTCCATAGAAAAACTAGGTATTCACCAAGTTTTCTATAGAAAAACTAGGTGTCCACCAAGTTTTCTATAGAAAAACTAGGTGTCCACCAAGTTTTCTATAGAAAAACTAGGTGTCCACCAAGTTTTCTATAGAAAAACTAGGTGTCCACCAAGTTTTCTATAGAAAAACTAGGTGTCCACCAAGTTTTCTATAGAAAAACTAGGTGTCCACCAAGTTTTCTATAGAAAAACTAGGTGTCCACCAAGTTTTCTATAGAAAAACTAGGTGTCCACCAAGTTTTCTATAGAAAAACTAGGTGTCCACCCAGTTTTCAATAGAAGACCTAGGACTCTTCCTAGTTTTCGATAGAAAAGCTGGGTCTACACCCAGTATTTGATAGAAAAGCTAGCTCTACACCCATTTTTTCGATAGAAACCCAAGGTCTCCGCCAAGTTTTCTATAGAAAACTTGAGGTCAGTTTAAGCCAAGTTTTCTATAGAAAATCTGGGTTTCCCCGAAGTTTCCTATAGAAAATCTGGGTGTCCACAAAGTTTTCTATAGAAAATCTAGGTGTCTCGAAGATTTCCATAGAAAAACTAGGTATTCACCAAGTTTTCTATAGAAAAACTAGGTGTCCACCAAGTTTTCTATAGAAAAACTAGGTGTCCACCAAGTTTTCTATAGAAAAACTAGGTGTCCACCAAGTTTTCTATAGAAAAACTAGGTGTCCACCAAGTTTTCTATAGAAAAACTAGGTGTCCACCAAGTTTTCAATAGAAAGCTTAAGTTTTCTATAAAAAAAATTGCCTTCCAATCTATCGAATTTCTTTTTCTTAGGTATGTTCCTGAGGGCAATTTAACTTCCTGTGGCATTGATTACCTGGATCGCTCGTGGAATTCACGCAGCTATTTGATGTGCTACACAGCCTTTGTCTACTACCTTCCATTGCTCCTGATCTGCTATTTCTATTGGCATATTATAAAGGTAAGTCCAACCCATGAGAACAATTTCCATAAAAAATGTTTTTTCTTTTCAAATTCCAGGCTGTGTTGGCCCATAAGAAAGCAATGCGCGAGCAGGCCAAGAAATTGCATGTCAAGTGCCTCTTCTCCTCTGAGGATGCTGAGAAATCTGCAGACGGTAAATTGGCCATGGTGGCTTTGGTTACAATATCTTTGTGGTTTGTAGCCTGGACTCCGTATCAGGTTATCAACACTCTGGGTCTGTTAAAATATGAGGGTCTAACTCCTTTGAACACCATTTGGGGCGCATGTTTTGCCAAATCGGCGGCATGCTATAATTCCATTGTTTATGGCATATGGTAAGCAGGGAGGGACTGGAATTTTTATTCCAATAAAATGTTTTAAAAATGATTTTACTTTCATGTTTTTCCAGTCATCCTAGATATCGCACCGCTCTGAAGGAACAATTTCCCTGTTGTGTGTTTGGCAGAGTAGAGGATAACAAAACAAATGATGTCGCCTCACAGACTACCACAATTGAAAAGATCGCATAGAAGAATTGAGCGAAATTTATATGGACCTCGATGATGGCACAGACTGGAATGGATTTACTCCTATTTTTTATAATATCCTGTTATTTTGTTTTAATATGCAATGTCAGTAAAGACTTATCAAAAATGAAAAAATAATGAAAAATAAAAATATAAAAAATAATATTACTTTTTATTAAATTAAGCGAATTGTCCACAGATTTTCTTTTCCTCCCTATCCTTCCTTCCTGCATAAATTCTTCCATTCTATCGACAAAAAAAAAATCTACTCTTAATTTTCTAGAAAATTGAGATTTCCAATAAATCTTCACCAGATTTTTAATGAAACATAAGTCTCCAATAGATTTTCAATAGAAAAATCAGAGTCTATTTAAGAGAAGAATCGAGGAGATTTCATTACACATTTTACTTAAGTTTATAGAAAACAAATGTGTTTTACAATTTTTTTTCTTTAGCAGAGAAATTGTCTTTCAACAAATTTTCCATGTAAAAGTCTTGGTCTTCAAGTTTTCTAAAGAAAATCTTGATCTCCAACAAATTTTTAATAGAAAATATTGGTCTCCATGAATTTTTCTAAAGAAAATCTAAGTCTCCACTTAGTTTTCTATGGAAAATCTTGGTCTTCCCGAAGTTTTCTATAGAAAATCTTGGTCTATAAAATCTAGATTTAGTTTTCTATAGAAAATTTTGGTTTCTACTAAGTTTTTTAAAGCAAATATTGGTCTTCACGAAGTTTTCTATAGAAAATCTTGGTCTTCACGAAGTTTTCTATGGAAAATCTTGGTCTCTCCGAAGTTTTCTATGGAAAATCTTGGTCTCCCCGAAGTTTTCTATGGAAAATCTTGGTCTCCCCGAAGTTTTCTATAGAAAATCTTGGTCTCCACGAAGTTTTCTATGGAAAATCTGGGTCTCCCCGAAGTTTTCTATAGAAAATCTTGGCCTTCACGAAGTTTTCTATAGAAAATCTTGGTCTTCACGAAGTTTTCTATAGAAAATCTTGGTCTTCAAGAAGTTTTCTATAGAAAATCTTGGTCTCCCCGAAGTTTTCTATAGAAAATCTATATCTGGTTTTCTATAGAAAATTTTGGTTTCCACGAAGTTTTCTAAAGAAAATATTGGTTTTCACGAAGTTTTCTATAGAAAATCTTGGTCTCCACGAAGTTTTCTATAGAAAATCTTGGTCTCCACGAAGTTTTCTATAGAAAATCTTGGTCTCCACGAAGTTTTCTATAGAAAATCTTGGTCTCCACGAAGTTTTCTATAGAAAATCTTGGTCTCCACGAAGTTTTCTATAGAAAATCTTGGTCTCCACGAAGTTTTCTATATAAAATCTTGGTATCCCCGAAGTTTTTTTAGAAAATCTTGGTCTCCACTAAGTTTTCTATAGAAAATTTTGGTCTCCACTAAGTTTTCTATAGAAAATTTTGGTCCCCACTAAGTTTTTTCTTAGAAAATCTTGGTCTCCACTAAGTTTTTTCTTAGAAAATCTTGGTCTCCACGAAGTTTTTTCTTAGAAAATCTTGGTCTCCACGAAGTTTTCTATAGAAAATCTTGGTATCCCCGAAGTTTTTTTTAGAAAATCTTGGTCTCCACGAAGTTTTCTATAGAAAATTTTGGTCTCCACTAAGTTTTCTATAGAAAATCTTGGTCTCCACGAAGTTTTCTATAGAAAATCTTGGTCTCCACGAAGTTTTCTATATAAAATCTTGGTATCCCCGAAGTTTTTTTAGAAAATCTTGGTCTCCACTAAGTTTTCTATAGAAAATTTTGGTCTCCACTAAGTTTTCTATAGAAAATTTTGGTCCCCACTAAGTTTTTTCTTAGAAAATCTTGGTCTCCACTAAGTTTTTTCTTAGAAAATCTTGGTCTCCACGAAGTTTTTTCTTAGAAAATCTTGGTCTCCACGAAGTTTTCTATAGAAAATCTTGGTCTCCACGAAGTTTTCTATAGAAAATCTTGGTCTCCACGAAGTTTTCTATAGAAAATCTTGGTCTCCACGACCTAGGACTCTTCCTAGTTTTCGATAGAAAAGCTGGGTCTACACCCAGTATTTGATAGAAAAGCTAGCTCTACACCCATTTTTTCGATAGAAACCCAAGGTCCACTAAGTTTTCTATAGAAAATTTTGGTCTCCACTAAGTTTTTTCTTAGAAAATCTTGGTCTCCACTAAGTTTTTTCTTAGAAAATCTTGGTCTCCACTAAGTTTTCTATAGAAAATTTTGGTCTCCACTAAGTTTTCTATAGAAAATTTTGGTCCCCACTAAGTTTTTTCTTAGAAAATCTTGGTCTCCACTAAGTTTTTTCTTAGAAAATCTTGGTCTCCACGAAGTTTTTTCTTAGAAAATCTTGGTCTCCACGAAGTTTTCTATAGAAAATCTTGGTCTCCACGAAGTTTTCTATAGAAAATCTTGGTCTCCACGAAATTTTCTATAGAAAATCTTGGTCTCCACGAAGTTTTCTATAGAAAATCTTGGTCTCCACGAAGTTTTCTATAGAAAATCTTGGTCTCCACGAAGTTTTCTATGGAAAATCTTGGTCTCCACGAAGTTTTCTATAGAAAATCTTGGTCTCCCCGAAGTTTTCTATAGAAAATCTTGGTCTCCACGAAGTTTTCTATAGAAAATCTTGGTCTCCACGAAGTTTTCTATAGAAAATCTTGGTATCCCCGAAGTTTTTTTTAGAAAATCTTGGTCTCCACGAAGTTTTCTATAGAAAATTTTGGTCTCCACTAAGTTTTCTATAGAAAATTTTGGTCTCCACTAAGTTTTCTATAGAAAATTTTGGTCTCCACTAAGTTTTTTCTTAGAAAATCTTGGTCTCCACGAAGTTTTCTGTAGAAAATCTTGGTCTCCACGAAGTTTTCTATAGAAAATTGTAGTCTCCACCAAGTTTTCTATAGAAAATTGTAGTCTTCACCATGCTTTCTATAGCAAATCTTGTTCTCCACGAAGTTTTCTATAGAAACTTTTGGTCTCCACTAAGTTTTCTATAGAAAATTTTGGTCTCCACGAAGTTTTCTATAGAAAATTTTGGTCTCCACGAAGTTTTCTATAGAAAATTTTGGTCTCCACGAAGTTTTCTATAAAAAATTTTGGTCTCCACGAAAAATAATAAAAAATAAAAAATATATTTTCCTCCCTATCCTTCCTTCCTTCCTGCATAAATTCTTCCTTTCTATCGACAACTAAAAAATCTACCCTTAATATTCTAGAAAATTGAGGTTTCCAATAAACCTTTACCAGATTTTTTAGTTTTCTATAGAAAAATCTTGGTCTCCACCATGTTTTCTCCACTCCACGAAGTTTTCTGTAGAAATTCTAGGTCTCCACGAAGTTTTCTGTAAAATATATTGTTCACAAATAAAATCGTGGTCTTCAAAATTTTTCTATACTAGCTCTCCGTCGAGTTTTCCATTGTAAACCCAACTCTCCACCGAGCTTTTCATGGAAGACTTAAGTCTCCACCAAGCTTTCTATAAAAGAATCTAGGTCTCCACCAAGTATTCCACTAATTTTCCTATAAGAAAAAAAAGTGTCTTTCAAAAATTTTGCGATATTTATGTGCTGAACTGTACCCAAGCTGCTATGCTTTAAATGTTTTGATATTTTCACGAATCGTTGACGTCTTTGGGTGGAAAGCCCATCTGTGTCGACAAAAATCAAATTAGAACTGAAAATATATTAAAACAAATCGATATGAAAACAGGCTTAGAATGCGGAATAATAAGCTCGAATGGTAAACTTGTATTTAAGAATATGCCCTTTTGTACATTCAAGGTTTATGCATTTATTTTTAGCTATGTCAAGGTCAACTTGACCAAACCGATGCAATTTTCCCATGGGAGCCCACAAACCTTAACCATAATATTTCTTCATCCATATTGTCGACGTTTACATATTCGCCGGTATAATTATTTGATTATAAATCCTTTTACGTGGGACTTGACTCTATAGTTATGACTTGGCCAAAGAGAGAACCATTTAGTATTTACGTTATTATTGCAAAACAAGATGACAACAATGTCGACAAATTACAACGACGGAGACGTAGTCGACGATAGGTAAATAAACCCATTTAAAGGGGTTTGTTAGGGTGGCACCAATTGTAGTCCCCACCAAGTTTTCTATAGAAAATTGTAGTCCCCACCAAGTTTTCTATAGAAAATTGTAGTCTCCACCAAGTTTTCTATAGAAAATCGTAGTCTCCACCAAATTTTCTATAGAAAATTTTAGTCTCCACCAAGTTTTCTATAGAAAATTGTAGTCTCCACCAAGTTTTCTATAGAAAATCGTAGTCTCCACCAAGTTTTCTATAGAAAATTTTAGTCTCCACCATGTTTTCTATAGAAAATTGCAGTCTCCATCAAGTTTTCTAAAGAAAATTACAGTCTCTACCAAATTTTCTACAGAAAATTGTAGTCTCCATTAAGTTTTCTATAGAAAATTTTAGTCTTCACCAATTTTTCTATAGAAAATTTTAGTCTCCACCAAGTTTTCTATAGAAAATTGTAGTCTCCACCTAGTTTTCTTTACAAAATTGTAGTCCCCCCAAAGTTTTCTATAGAAAATTGTAGTTTCCACCAAGTTTTCTACAGAAAATTGTAGTCTCCACCAAGTTTTCTATAGAAAATTGTAGTCTCTACCAAGTTTTCTACAGAAAATTGTAGTCTACACCAATTTCTCTATAGAAAATTTTAGTCTCCACCAAGTTTTCTATAGAAAATTGTAGTCTCCACCAAGTTTTCTATAGAAAATCGTAGTCTCCACCAAGTTTTCTATAGAAAATTTTAGTCTCCACCATGTTTTCTATAGAAAATTGCAGTCTCCATCAAGTTTTCTAAAGAAAATTACAGTCTCTACCAAATTTTCTACAGAAAATTGTAGTCTCCATTAAGTTTTCTATAGAAAATTTTAGTCTTCACCAATTTTTCTATAGAAAATTGTAGTCTCCACCAAGTTTTCTATAGAAAATTGTAGTCTTCACCAAGCTTTCTATAGCAAATCTTGTTCTCCACGAAGTTTTCTATAGAAAATTTTGGTCTCCACTAAGTTTTCTATAGAAAATTTTGGTCTCCACGAAGTTTTCTATAGAAAATTTTGGTCTCCACGAAGTTTTCTATAGAAAATTTTGGTCTCCACGAAGTTTTCTATAAAAAATTTTGGTCTCCACGAAAAATAATAAAAAATAAAAATATATATTTTCCTCCCTATCCTTCCTTCCTTCCTGCATAAATTCTTCCTTTCTATCGACAACTAAAAAATCTACCCTTAATTTTTTTAGTTTTCTATAGAAAAATCTTGGTCTCCACCATGTTTTCTTTGGAAATATAGGTCTCCACGCAGTTTTCTTTAGAAATTCTAGGACTCCACGAAGTTTTCTGTAGAAATTCTAGGTCTCCACGAAGTTTTCTGTAAAATATATTGTTCACAAATAAAATCGTGGTCTTCAAAAATTTTCTATACTAGTTCTCCGTCGAGTTTTCCATTGTAAACCCAACTCTCCACCGAGCTTTTCATGGAAGACTTAAGTCTCCACCAAGCTTTCTATAAAAGAATCTAGGTCTCCACCAAGTATTCCACTAATTTTCCTATAAGAAAAAAAGTGTCTTTCAAAAATTTTGCGATATTTATGTGCTGAACTGTACCCAAGCTGCTATGCTTTAAATGTTTTGATATTTTCACGAATCGTTGACGTCTTTGGGTGGAAAGCCCATCTGTGTCGACAAAAATCAAATTAGAACTGAAAATATATTAAAACAAATCGATATGAAAACAGGCTTAGAATGCGGAATAATAAGCTCGAATGGTAAACTTGTATTGAAGAATATGCCCTTATGTACATTCAAGGTTTATGCATTTATTTTTAGCTATGTCAAGGTCAACTTGACCAAACCGATGCAATTTTCCCATGGGAGCCCACAAACCTTAACCATAATATATTTTAGTCTCCACCAAGTTTTCTATAGAAAATTGTAGTCTCCACCAAGTTTTTTATAGAAAATTGTAGTCCCTACCAAGTTTTCTATAGAAAATTTTAGTTTCCACCAAGTTTTCTTTAGAAAATTGTAGTCCCTACAAAGTTTTCTATAGAACATTTTAGTTTCCTCCAAGTTTTCTTTAGAAAATTGTAGTATCCACCAAGTTTTCTATAGAAAATTGTAGTCTCCACCTAGATTTCTTTAGAAAGTTGTAGTCTCCACCAATTTTTCTATAGAAAATTGTAGTCTCCACCAAGTTTTCTATAGAAAATTGTAGTCTCCACCAAGTTTTCTATAGAAAATTGTAGTTTCCACCAAGTTTTCTATAGAAAATTGTAGTTTCCACCAATTTTAACATAGAAAATCTGGGCCTCCACCAAGTTTTCTATGGAAAATTGTAGTCTCCACCAACTAGTTTCCACCAAGTTTTCTATAGAAAATTGTAGTCTTCACAAATTTTTCTATTGAAAAAGCGTTGTCTCACTAAGTTCCCTAGAGAGTATCGAGGTATTCACTAATTTTTCTATTGAAATCTTGGTTTACAACAAGTTTTCGGTGGAAAATCTAGGTCTCCATCACGTTTCCTAAGGGAAATCTCAGTCTCCACCATGTTTCCTATGGAAAACTCTTAATCTCCACCAAGTTTTCTATGGAAGATCTTGGTCTCCAACATGTTTCCTATTTCCAAGTTTCCGATGGAAAATCTTGGAAAATCTCCACCATGTTTCCTTAGAGAAATCTTGGCCTCCACCCTGTTTTCTATGGAAAACTTTTGATCTCCACAAAGTTTTCTATGGAAAATCTTGGTGTCCACAAAGTTTTCTATGGAATATCTTGATCTCCACCAAGTTTTTTACGTAAAATCTTTGACTCCACAAAGTTTTTTATAGAAAATCTAGGTATCCACCCAGTTTCCGATAGAAAATCTAGGTCTCCACCAAGTTTCTATAAAAAATCTAGGTCTTCACCAAGTCTCTAGCGTTCTCTAGTCTTGGGGCCACTCTAATATAAAGTGCAGCATTTAAGTCCGTTTGTATGTCTCTGTCTGTCTGACGACACATGCCAACACCTTTGTGTTGTATTGACATTTCTTTAAGCCACCTTGAATAATATGGTTATTGATGTTGTTGTGGTTATTGTTGTTGCAATTTGGCAAAGAAAACCGAAAAGAAGCCCTAATTTAATTGTCTTCTTCGTTTGCCCTGGGCATCGCCTCGAACCGTTCTAAGCTATAAAAATACCTATAAAACTTGCAGCGGTCTCAAGAAATTCTCGCAGATGGTAAATAGCCGCGACGAACATTCGACTAGTCCGAGCCGGTGAATTTTACCAACCACAGTTTCGTGAGGAAGGGGCGAGCAATAGCAAGAACAACAACAACAACACCACAACCACCGCGAAAGACTAATTTACAAGTGGCCAAAAAAAGCTATGAGATTTTATTTTGAAAAAATAATTTGCTAACTTTTTTCACATGTAAATTAAACGTGACGCGATCGGTTTTTAGAACATAACCTATAAAACGGTCAACAACAACAACTTTCCCGTAAAGTCGTATTTTTTTAAGAAAAAAAAGTGTCTTCTTTGAAAACATCATCCAAAATGGAAAGGTGTGTTCGAAGTGTTTTAAAGTGAACCAGGATAAGTGATTGTGTTTTCTCATTTTCTTCATAGATTCGCTGAACAGCCCCCCATGGGACCACACTTTGCTGCCCTCGGCAATGGATCGGTAACGGATAAGGTGGGTATTGTGGTGGAGAACCTGTGAAAAGTATCTCAAGGTCCTCTTTCAAACAAAAAGGTCTGAGGTCTTTATAAATTAGAAGACCATTAAAGTGGTGATGTGGATAGAGGACTCCTAAACCGCTTTTCAATGGGTCCTTTCCATACCAAGCCTCGACCAATCAATGAATGGGAGATAGGTCTTCTAGAACCTCATCGCTTCGAAATTAAACATTTCAAGAGGTTATCCATTGCTGGAAGTTGTGATGTGGAAATAGGACTCCTAGACTAATTCTCAATAGGTCCTTTCTATGCCAAACCCCGATCGATGGAATACCAATCAAGTTATCTTCCACCACCATAAATGCGATATAGGTTTTCTAGAACCTCGTCGCTTCAAAATTAAACCTTTCAAGTAGTTATCTATTGCTGGAAGAGAATCCTAGTGGACTTCCGCAACTTAGAGTCCTTTCAAGTGCCTTGCTGACCCTCTTTCCTCTCCAACATCATTTTTACAGGTAACACCCGACATGGCCCACTTAATCCATCCGTATTGGAATCAATTCCCTGCCATGGACCCCATCTGGAGTAAAATTCTAGCTGCCTATCTGCTGACCATCGGTATACTGGCCTGGATTGGCAACGGTACCGTCATCTATATTTTTGGCACAACAAAATCTCTGCGTACACCTGCCAATTTGCTGGTCATCAATTTGGCTCTCTCCGATTTTGGCATGATGGTTCTGAATACTCCTATTATGGGTATTAATTTATATTTTGAGACCTGGGTCTGGGGCCCATTGATGTGTGATGTCTATGCCGGTTTGGGTTCGGCCTTTGGCTGCAGTTCAATTTGGTCCATGTGCATGGTGGCCTTGGATCGTTACAATGTCATTGTCAAGGGTATGGCCGGACAACCGATGACGGTGAAATTGGCCATATTTAAGATTATTTTCGTTTGGGCCATGTCTAGTATTTGGACATTTGCCCCAGTTTTGGGATGGAGCCGGTAAGGGAGGAGACACAAAATTCTCTTAAAACAGAAATATATGAAAAAACCCCTCTCTCATTGCAGTTATGTGCCTGAGGGCAATCTAACATCCTGCGGCATTGATTATTTGGAACGTGACTGGAATCCACGTACCTATTTGATCTTCTATACCATCTTTGTCTATTATGTGCCATTGTTCTTGATCTGCTATTCCTATTGGTTCATCATTGCTGTAAGTATCGATATCGAAAAATTCTTCTTTGGCTTCCTCATAATATATGCTGGTCTTTCTTCGCCAGGCTGTATCTGCTCACGAGAAAGCCATGCGCGAACAAGCCAAGAAAATGAATGTCAAATCCCTCCGCTCCTCTGAGGATGCCGAAAAGTCAGCCGAGGGCAAATTGGCCAAAGTTGCCTTGGTCACCATTTCACTGTGGTTCATGGCCTGGACCCCCTATCAAGTCATCAACACCTTGGGTCTATTCAAATATGAAGGTTTAACCCCACTGAACACCATCTGGGGTGCCTGCTTTGCCAAATCGGCCACAGTCTATAATCCAATTGTCTACGCTACCAGGTAAGTGGAAGAGAGAAAAAAAAAAAAAACAAAACAGGAAGAGAAGCAGTGCTCCCGTAATCTCTAGAGGCTTTCTAGAAAATTAAGGCCCCAATTTTCTAGGAAGAGAAGACCTCTGAAAAGGACTCTCTATAAGTAGATAGCCCTCCAAGTGGCCTTCTAAACATAGAGAGGACCACATGCTAACAGGTATGTTGAAGACAATAATCTCTGATAGTACTCAAGTGGTGGTTTTTTACAGTGGACCTGCCTGGAGGCTTTTTTGAGAATGAAGAGGGCCATTTTAGAGAATTTCCATAGCTATAGATACTTAAGTGGCCTTTCATATATGTAGACGGCCTCTTATGTGACATTCATTACATAGATGACCCTTAAAGTGGCCTTCTGAATAAGTCTCTCAAGTCTCTCTTGCACGCATGTGATATTTTTAGAGGTTTTCTGGAGAATGAAGACCTCACTGGTAATATTCTAGGAATCAGAAAACCTCTGAAAAGGGCTCTCTTTAAGTAGGGAGGCCCCAAATGGCCTTCAGGGGCAGGGGTTTCCTATAGATAGAGGAACTTAATTTGCTTCCATACATGCATACATGACCTACTAAGTGCTTTCCATTTCATAGCTGACTATTAAAGTTATCTTCTGAATAAGTCCCTAAATAATACCTCTCTGGGGGTGTTCAGAAATTAGAAGATCTCTCAGGTGGTTTTCTATAGATACCATAGAAGATAGTAAATAACCTCTCTAGTGACTCTCAAAAATAAAGGACGACCACTTTTGGGGGATCCTTGAAAAATACAAAATCTTACTGCCTTGAAAAACTATTTTTAGAAAATCCAAAATTTTAGCTGAAAATATATTTTTTTGAAAAATTTCCGATTGAGGCCTTAATAATCCTCAGAAAATATTAAACTCCAGAAAATTATGTACCTCATAGTACTCGATTTTTTTCCTCCACAGACTAGAGGCTTTCTAGAGAAACGTAGAGGCTTCTACAGAATGAAAACCCCACCTCAAAAGGGCTCTGCTTAAATATAGAGTCTCTCAAGTGGCCTTCTGTACGTGGAGGGCTACTAAAGTCGCCTTCTGAACATAGGACCACTTTTTCTATAGACAGAACCACTTCCATATATGTAGAGTGTATCCTGTATTCCTGTATATAGTTGACCGCTAAAGTGACATTCTTAAGGCGAATTGCCTCTCCGAAGATATTCAAAAAATAAAAGACCTCTCAGGTTGTATTCAATAGATACCATGGAAGATACCTCAAGTGGTTTTTAGAAAATAGCAAGCAATATCTCAAGTAACTTTCAAGATATGGTACGACCACTAAGGAGAACCACTAAAGAAGTTTTCTTAGGAGAGAAGGCTTCTATAGAACTTCCAGTACTAGAAAATAACTCCGAAGGCGTCCAACAGATACAGGACTAATTAAGTGATTATATGCCAATAGACGATACCTTAGTGGCTTTCAAAAGATAGAAGACCTCTCAAGTGGTTTTCTATTAAGAGAAGTCTTCACAAGAGGTCTTCAAGGGACATACAATCTCTTAAGGCGTATTTTAGCTAAAGATATATCGCGCGATAAAGGGAATCTCAAGTGACCTTAGGCAATGTTTCGAAGGCCTCGAGTTCTTAATTATATGGATACATAGGGTATATATCATTTAATACGGCCAGAACGTGCCACATCGAAGTAATGGTTTTACACTCTAGGTCTCTTTGGGCTAAATCCGTTTCAGGACATATGGGGTGTCAGTCCGTCGACAAGATAACTCTCGAAATGAGTATTCAAATTGGTCCAAACTTGGTACATCGTAATATTATTAAAAATCTTATATCGAGTTCGGAGATAGGCAATATTGGTCCCCTCCTTCTGGTACCTCCCGCACAAAGGTCGACATTTTCAAAGAAAAATATTAACCTCATAGAACATGAAAAAATCATTAAATTTTGATTTTAATATTTATATCAGTGCAAGGTAATGCGTGATTATTAACAGTATCGGTCCACTGTTTCTGGTACCATCCCCACAAAGGGCGAACATTTTGAATAACTAATTGATTCTTTCGCAACTCGGTACATCCCAAAATTTCTTATCAACACAAGATCTAGTGTGAATATGGAATATATCGGACCACGCCATGTGGTAGCTACCCAAAGGTCAAAGGGTCAACATTTTGAACAACCAAAACGATCATAAAATACGAAATTAGTATCGGATTCTTTTCAAACCTGGCACCTATAAATATTTCCATCAACACAAAATCTGGTGTGAAGATGTAATATTTCGAACCACTCTTTCTAGTACCTCCCCCACCAAGGGTCAATATATTTTAAATAACAAAAACGCTCATAAAGTGCGAAATTAGCATCGGATTCTTTTCAAAATCGGTACATAGCAATATTTCTATCAACACAATACCTATTGTGAAGATGGAAAATATCAGACCATGCCTTCTGCTAGCTCCCCTACAAAAGTTCAAAACTTTGAATAACCAAGACGTCCACGAAATGTGAAATTAGCATCAGATTCTTTTTCAACTGGGCACATCCAAATATTTCCATCAACACAAGATCTGGTGTGAAGATGGAATACATCGGACAACTCCTCCTAGTACCTCCCACACAAGGGGTTAACATTTTGTATGACTAGAACGCTCATAAAAAGCGAAATTTACATCCAATTCCATTCAACAGCGACAGAAGATCGATCCAATCCTTCTGGTGGCTCCCCCACAAGTGGTCAAAGTTTTAAAAAAACCAAATACGATTATAGTATCCGAATTAAGCATCCGGTTCTCTTCATATTTCTCACATCCCATTATATCTACTAACAAAAGATCTGATGTGAAGATGAAATATATCGGACCACTATTTTTAATACCTCCCCTAACTAACTTCCCCACAAAAGAACTTTGAATAACCAAGACACCCACAAAATGTGAAATTAGCATCAGATAATTTTTAAACTCGGCACATCCAAATATTTCCATCAACAAAAGATCTGGTGTGAAGATGGAATACACCGGACAACTCCTCGTAGTACCTCCCACACAAGGGGTTAACATTTTGAATAACTAGAACGCTCATAAAATGCGAAATTAACATCCAATTCCATTCAACAGCGACAGAAGATCGATCCAATCCTTCTGGTGGCTCCCCCACAAGTGGTCAAAGTTTTAAAAAACCAATACGATTAAAATATCCGAAATAAGCATCCAGTTCTCTTCTCATTTCTCACATCCCATTACATCTACTAACAAAAGATCTGCTGTGAAGATGAAATATATCGGACCACTCCCCCAAAATTTTCAATATCCAATACCTCAAAATTTTGTATAACCAATATTTCCATCAAGCCAAGATCTGGTGTGAAGATGGAAAATAACGGACCATGCCTAGTGGTAACTCCTCCATAAAGGGTCAACATTTTGAATAACTAAAAACGCTTATAAAATGCGAAATTAGCCCTGGTTTCTTTGCAAAATTGGCACATCCAAATCCACTCCTTCAGATACTTCCAGGGGTCAACATTTGTAATATTTATAACTTGCAAAAATTTAACTGATTCATCTTGAACCAGGCATATATCAATATTTCACTCAACCAGAGATCTAATGCGAATACGGATTTTTCGACGAAATTTTAGAAATCCTGCTGAAAAAATCCACGTTTCTGGCCCAGAAAGTCCGCGAAAGATATTCTTTAAAACCATTTAGGATTCTAGCTCTGAGAATCCTTGAAAAATCCACGATTCTACCCCTTATAGCCCTTGAAAAACTATTCTCAGAAAATTTAAGCGGAAAAAGATATTCTTTAAAAAATCCCCGATTGAGCCCTTAATAATCCTTAGCAAATCTCCAAACCCTCGACAATTATATATCTCAAAGTACTCAATATTTTCCTCCATCACTCATTCTCTCGCTCTTCTATCTCTTCTTTTCAGCCATCCTAAATATCGTATTGCCTTGAAAGAGAAATGCCCATGCTGTGTCTGCGGCAATGTTGATGATGGCAAATCGGGTGGCAGTGATGCCACATCTCAGGCCACTGAGTCCGAATCAAAGGCATAAATTTCCAATCGCACGGAATAACTACGGCTTCCTTCGACCACGATCTCCACGATTAGCTAAACTAAACTAAACTAACATCAACACCACCTCTCTGTATAAAACACAACAATAACAATAAACAAATATATATTTGAAGAACAAAAAGAAACTACTAACTAATGGTACTAACTATATATTAATACAATTACAACTACATACTATTTTTTATACATCTCGGAGACATAACTGAGTGACGTGTGATAGATAGATAGATGGCACCCATGGCTTCATTACAACAATGTAATATACCACAAAACCAAAGATGATAATAAACAATACGGAAACGGAAACTGCAGCAACAGAACGAAAGCTTTCGCATAATAGTAACGAATTGTGTATGTAAACAGAAAAAAAACTATATAGGAATTTTATTCAAAAGTGTTGTATTTGTTATAGGAAACTATTTAATTGAAATTAAATTTTACTTTTTATTTGTATTTTTAGTTGAAAATGAAGAAGAAAAAAAACCTCTGCAATGTCATTAAAGACGAAAAAATTACAAAAAAAAAAAAAAAATGAACATATATAAAGAACAAGAAATCAAAACATTACACACGAAATTTGAAATAATAAAGAACATGCATACAACCTCTTAAAGATGGTTAGCAAAACGAAAAATTAATCGAAAAATTTGTTTTTTAATTTTTGAATCGAGGAATTTATAGTCATTCACAAATAAAAAGGTTCAGGGCAAAATAAGAAAAACGTTAAAAAATGATTTAAAACACCCTAAAAATACGAAAACTTAAAATTGACATAATAACTCCTTAAATATTGGCATTTCGGGCTGTTAGCATTCTCTTTTATTCAGTTTATTTTAGAATGGTCGGAGGTCCCTAAATATTGACATTTCGGGGTTTTTAACATGCTTTTTCATACAGTTTATTTTAGAATGCACATTGGTCGAGGTCGTATTGGAACAGCGGCCAAAAATACTTTCAGTGCAGATATGAATATGAATCTTTGGTTATGGTACCTTGATGGGATAAAAATAAAAAATGTGACAAAATGGTCGGTGTATGATTTAGTCGAAACTTTTTTATATCTTTGTTTCTAGACACCGTGGCCTCCTCCGATAATACTCCAATCGATACCATGACTATTTTTTAATGTCGGGTGCATTATTAAAATTTTATGGATTGTGGGTGGAAGATAGTACCATCTATTTGTTAATTCTTAAGCAGATTCCACTGCAAAGGCGTTAAATTTTTCGACATTAATATTGTAGCAGGAAGTCAATGCCTGTAACAATATTGAACACCTCTCAATTACATCTTAATCAATCCCTATTATATCCGAAGTAATTCCCGTCTCGTTGATGATCTACTGCCTTCAATTTTTTAAAGATGGTTTAGTTTTTTAGTTTTTTTTTACTACCTATACTTTAAAATGGCCATAACTCCTTAAATATTGACATTTCGGGGTTTTTAGCATGCTTTTTCATTCAGTTTATTTTAGTACGGTAATAGCTCCCTAAATATTGACATTTCGGGGGTTATAGCACCCTTTTTCATTTACTTATTTAAAGATGAAAGATAGTATACTTTAAAATGGCCATAACTCCTTAAATATTGACATTTCGGGGTTTTTAGCATGCTTTTTCATTCAGTTTCATTTAGAACGGTAATAGCTCCCTAAATATTGACATTTCGGGGGTTATAGCATGCTTTTTCATTTAGTTATTTAAAGATGAAAGATAGTATACTTTCAAATGGCCATAACTTCTTAAATATTGACATTTCGGGGTTTTTAGCATGCTTTTTCATTCATTTTCATTTAGAACGGTAATAGCTCCCTAAATATTGACATTTCGGGGGTTATAGCATGCTTTTTCATTTAGTTATTTAAAGATGAAAGATAGTATACTTTCAAATGGCCATAACTCCTTAAATATTGACATTTCGGGGTTTTTAGCATGCTTTTTCATTCAGTTTCATTTAGAACGGTAATAGCTCCCTAAATATTGACATTTCGGGGGTTATAGCATGCTTTTTCATTTAGTTATTTAAAGATGAAAGATAGTATACTTTCAAATGGCCATAACTCCTTAAATATTGACATTTCGGGGTTTTTAGCATGCTTTTTCATTCAGTTTCATTTAGAACGGTAATAGCTCCCTAAATATTGACATTTCGGGGGTTATAGCATGCTTTTTCATTTAGTTATTTAAAGATGAAGGATAGTATACTTTAAAATGGCCATAACTCCTTAAATATTGACATTTCGGGGTTTTTAGCATGCTTTTTCATTCAGTTTCATTTAGAACGGTAATAGCTCCCTAAATATTGACATTTCGGGGGTTATAGCATGCTTTTTCATTTAGTTATTTAAAGATGAAGGATAGTATACTTTAAAATGGCCATAACTCCTTAAATATTGACATTTCGGGGTTTTTAGCATGCTTTTTCATTCAGTTTCATTTAGAACGGTAATAGCTCCCTAAATATTGACATTTCGGGGGTTATAGCATGCTTTTTCATTTAGTTATTTAAAGATGAAGGATAGTATACTTTAAAATGGCCATAACTCCTTAAATATTGACATTTCGGGGTTTTTAGCATGCTTTTTCATTCAGTTTCATTTAGAACGGTAATAGCTCCCTAAATATTGACATTTCGGGGGTTATAGCATGCTTTTTCATTTAGTTATTTAAAGATGAAGGATAGTATACTTTAAAATGGCCATAACTCCTTAAATATTGACATTTCGGGGTTTTTAGCATGCTTTTTCATTCAGTTTCATTTAGAACGGTAATAGCTCCCTAAATATTGACATTTCGGGGGTTATAGCATGCTTTTTCATTTAGTTATTTAAAGATGAAGGATAGTATACTTTAAAATGGCCATAACTCCTTAAATATTGACATTTCGGGGTTTTTAGCATGCTTTTTCATTCAGTTTCATTTAGAACGGTAATAGCTCCCTAAATATTGACATTTCGGGGGTTATAGCATGCTTTTTCATTTAGTTATTTAAAGATGAAGGATAGTATACTTTAAAATGGCCATAACTCCTTAAATATTGACATTTCGGGGTTTTTAGCATGCTTTTTCATTCAGTTTCATTTAGAACGGTAATAGCTCCCTAAATATTGACATTTCGGGGGTTATAGCATGCTTTTTCATTTAGTTATTTAAAGATGAAAGATAATATACTTTCAAATGGCCATAACTCCTTAAATATTGACATTTCGGGGTTTTTAGCATGCTTTTTCATTCAGTTTCATTTAGAACAGTAATAGCTCCCTAAATATTGACATTTCGGGGTTATAGCATGCTTTTTCATTTAGTTATTTAAAGATGAAAGATAGTATACTTTAAAATGGCCATAACTCCTTAAATATTGACATTTCGGGGTTTTAGCATGCTTTTTCATTCAGTTTCATTTAGAACGGTAATAGCTCCCTAGATATTGACATTTCGGGGGTTATAGCATGCTTTTTCATTTAGATATTTAAAGATGAAAGATAGTATAATTTAAAATGGCCATAACTCCTTAAATATTGACATTTCGGGGTTTTTAGCATGCTTTTTCATTCAGTTTCATTTAGAACAGTAATAGCTCCCTAAATATTGACATTTCGGGGTTATAGCATGCTTTTTCATTTAGTTATTTAAAAATGAAAGATAGTATACTTTAAAATGGCCATAACTCCTTAAATATTGACATTTCGGGGTTTTTACCATGCTTTTTCATCCAGTTTATTTTAGAATGATAATAGCTCCCTAAATATTGACATTTCGGGGGTTATAGCATGCTTTTTCATTTAGTTATTTAAAAATGAAAGATAGTATACTTTAAAATGGCCATAACTCCTTAAATATTGACATTTCGGGGTTTTTAGCATGCTTTTTCATTCAGTTTCATTTAGAACAGTAATAGCTCCCTAAATATTGACATTTCGGGGTTTTTAGCATGCTTTTTCATTCAGTTTCATTTAGAACGGTAATAGCTCCCTAAATATTGACATTTCGGGGTTTTTAGCATGCTTTTTCATTCAGTTATTTAAAAATGAAAGATAGTATACTTTAAAATGGCCATAACTCCTTAAATATTAACATTTCGGGGTTTTTAGCATGCTTTTTCATTCAGTTTCATTTAGAACGGTAATAGCTCCCTAAATATTGACATTTCGGGGTTTTTAGCATGCTTTTTCATTCAGTTATTTAAAAATGAAAGATAGTATACTTTAAAATGGCCATAACTCCTTAAATATTAACATTTCGGGGTTTTTAGCATGCTTTTTCATTCAGTTTCATTTAGAACGGTAATAGCTCCCTAAATATTGACATTTCGGGGTTTTTAGCATGCTTTTTCATTCAGTTTCATTTAGAACGGTAATAGCTCCCTAAATATTGACATTTCGGGGTTTTTAGCATGCTTTTTCATTCAGTTATTTAAAAATGAAAGATAGTATACTTTAAAATGGCCATAACTCCTTAAATATTAACATTTCGGGGTTTTTAGCATGCTTTTTCATTCAGTTTCATTTAGAACGGTAATAGCTCCCTAAATATTGACATTTCGGGGTTTTTAGCATGCTTTTTCATTCAGTTTCATTTAGAACGGTAATAGCTCCCTAAATATTGACATTTCGGGGTTTTTAGCATGCTTTTTCATTCAGTTTCATTTAGAACGGTAATAGCTCCCTAAATATTGACATTTCGGGGTTTTTAGCATGCTTTTTCATTCAGTTATTTAAAAATGAAAGATAGTATACTTTAAAATGGCCATAACTCCTTAAATATTGACATTTCGAGGTTTTTAGCATGCTTTTTCATTCAGTTTATTTTAGAACGGTATAAGCTCCCTAAATATTGACATGTCGGGGGTTATAGCATGCTTTTTCATTTAGTTATTTAAAAATGAAAGATAGTATACTTTAAAATGGCCATAACTCCTTAAATATTGACATTTCGGGGTTTTTACCATGCTTTTTCATCCAGTTTATTTTAGAATGATAATAGCTCCCTAAATATTGACATTTCGGGGGTTATAGCATGCTTTTTCATTTAGTTATTTAAAAATGAAAGATAGTATACTTTAAAATGGCCATAACTCCTTAAATATTGACATTTCGGGGTTTTTACCATGCTTTTTCATCCAGTTTATTTTAGAACGGTAATAGCTCCCTAAATATTGACATTTCGGGGGTTATAGCATGCTTTTTCATTTAGTTATTTAAAAATGAAAGATAGTATACTTTAAAATGGCCATAACTCCTTAAATATTGACATTTCGGGGTTTTTAGCATGCTTTTTCATTCAGTTTATTTTAGAACGGTATAAGCTCCCTAAATATTGACATTTCGGGGGTTATAGCATGCTTTTTCATTTAGTTATTTAAAAATGAAAGATAGTATACTTTAAAATGGCCATAACTCCTTAAATATTGACATTTCGGGGTTTTTACCATGCTTTTTCATCCAGTTTATTTTAGAATGATAATAGCTCCCTAAATATTGACATTTCGGGGGTTATAGCATGCTTTTTCATTTAGTTATTTAAAAATGAAAGATAGTATACTTTAAAATGGCCATAACTCCTTAAATATTGACATTTCGGGGTTTTTACCATGCTTTTTCATCCAGTTTATTTTAGAACGGTAATAGCTCCCTAAATAT